ATTATTATTATTATTATTATTATTATTATTATTATTATTATTATTATTATTATTATTATTATTATTATTTAATTTTAATTTTTTTTTAATTTTATTTTTACTTATTAATTTAATTTAATTTATTTATTTTGTTATTTATTTGTACTTAATTTTATTATAATTTTTTATTTTTTTTAACTTATTTTAGAAACTCAGAAGGTAAAAGAGAGGCCTTAAACATTTACTAGCAATGAAAAGCCCCTCAATATATAGAAATTTACCAACTAATATTTTCAAAGAACAAGCAATTGCCGATATTTATTGGGCAATTCGGTTTTGGGCTACCAAAGTAAAGAAATTTCCAAAACTAATACCGAAAAGGCCGATAGGGACTGGAGAGAAGGACACCGGGATAGTCATGACGATGATGACCAGGTGGTCAAAGTATTAAACAAACTCTGGTGATCTCGTAAGGTAAGATCTAAGCCTATATAAATATCGGCATTATGCTAATTTTATTGGTCTGAATTTATATTACTGTAAAGGAAATGAGGCTTCAGATTTTCAATTTTATCATTAGATTTAAGCTTAAAAAAATTTGTATTTTACTGATAGCTAAGTTAATAAATGATAAAATCGAGAACTGTCTTTTTTTTTTCTTTAGCAATATATTTTTTTTTCCCCTTTATATATATATATATATATATATAATTTTTTTTTAAACAAATTTTTTTTTTCTTCTAGTTGAAGAAAATTTTATAGTTGACTGAAAATGTAGCTGCTGTAAAAAAGAAGTCAACACAATACCAGTGGGCAAATGCCTCCAGTTTAATCGATGAAAATACTATTCCACTAAGTAATATACCATCTTGGTTTGTATCAAGATCATATAGTAACTCAGATGGTTGCATAACCGATAGTGATAACCCCCTCCTAGTAATGATAATGAAAACCCTCCTCCTGATACCAATAACAACCCTCTCCTGATACCAATATCAACCCCCTTCTGATATCAATAACAACCCTCTCCTGATACCAATATCAACCCCTTCTAATAACACTACCAACCCCCTCCTGATAACACCACGAACCTCCCTTCCGATAATGATACCACCAACCCATTTCCCAATAATAATACCACCAACCCACCTCCTCATAACAATAACCCCCTTCTAATAATAATAATGACCTTGATATCGACAACAATGATAATGACTATATACCTGTTGTAGCTAGGCCCAGCAACATCTACTACAGCATATATAGTAACTATAGTACACGTTCAAAATTGAAAAAAAATCTGACTACTAGAGGTAAAAAATAATAATACTGTTAGTTTAATTATAATTATGCGAAACTAACCTTGTCTCTGAATTTGACAAACAGTATTAAATCAACCAGATGCCTTTAAGGCTGTTGTTGATAAAGAAAAAGCAAAAGAGGTTGTTGAAGAAGAAGAAGATAAAGCAAAGGCTTTTGATAAAGGAAAGAGTAAAGAGGTTATTGTTGAAGAAGTGAAAGAAGTTGATGAAAAAAATAGAAAGATGAAAATTGGTATGCATCAGCTAATTTTTATATTAATATTAGTAACTTTTATGAATTATTATTTATTGTATATATTTTCTGGTATTAGATTTTCTGTTAGTAGAAAATTCAATACTCTATTGAAATCCTTCTATAATATCATAAGGTGAAACAATATTCAGTCAGCAAGAATCTAGCCTGTCATTAGATAATTAGATAAAATATATTAATTAATACAATATTCGAATTATTAATTTTGTCTTCTGTATAGGTGCTGATAGTGTTATCAATGATTTTCTTGAAGATAAAGAAGTTGCAGATCTTTTTGCGAGATCTGACAAATTTTTAGAATACTTTTTCGCAAAAAAATTGGGAGAGAAGGAAGAGGAGGAAGAAATTTTTTTTAAAAAAAAAGTAGCTTTTTTTTTTAATATATATTTGCATATATATTTGTATATATTTTTGTTTTATTTATAATAAATAAAATATATTAAAGCTGTATATACTGTATATTGCATATATTCTTCTTGCAAATCCCTAACACAAAATTTACTTAAATTCGTCCAACACAAAACATCCATTTACACAAAATTTATCATGCAAACCTAAGTTTACTTTCTAAGTAAACTTGTTCGAAATACAAAAATATATATTATATTTAAATATTAAGTCTATAGACTTATATTCGCGGAGTAAAGTCCTAAAAACTTTTTTTAAGCAAAAAATTCAAACTTTTGATATTTACTCTTTAATCTGATTCTAACCCCTGTACTACATCTAGTAAAAGTTGTTCTACACACTTTCCTCGTCATAACAAGCTATATTTCATCCATGTAGCTTTAAAATTGACAAAGCTAGCCTTTAAGGAAAATTTTATACTTTTGTGTTTATTCTTTAATCTGATTCTAAACCTCTGCACTTCATTAATTAAAAGTTGTTCTACACACCTTTCTGATCATAACAAGCTGTATTTCATCTCTGTAGCATCAAAATTGACAAAGTTATTCTTTAAACCATTTTAATCCTCTTTACTTACTCTTTACAACTTTCTTTGTCTTTTTTTTGTACTTTTTACTATACCTGATTTTTGTGTAACATCCAATCACTTCCAAATTTATCTAAATTAACTTTATATTACGTAAATATTAATTTTCCTTTTATATTTTTCATTCTAACAATCAATTTTACACAAATTTGCTAATCATTACACGAAAGCTTACTATTTATATAATAACCTTTTTTAGCTAACTTTACTATCTCAATACCCCAAATTTTCTGCACATGATTTTTACACAATCTGCACCCTAAAATTACAAAAAATTAAATATTTATAACTTATATTTTCATCTATATTTTTATATTTATCTACTATTTTATATATAGTATTACAAAATCTTTAAAATTTAATAACTTTTGATCTACTAAACCAATTTAGATGATTTAACTACCAAAATAATGGTCATTTCAAGATGCTTCTAATGAATCCAAAATTACCTGATTCTGATTATGTGATCAAAAGTGCCATCAAGATTTATTTTTCAAACTATCTATAGTTAAACCTCTCTAAATGCAACCTCTATAAATGCAAGACCTCTCTAAATACACAGTTTTGCTGTGGCTCTACTATATATATACTTATAGATTTTTATCCCTCTAAATGCAATACCTCTCTAAATGCAAGATTTTTTGTAGTCTGTACATAGTGCACTTACGGAGGGTTGATTATATATCTCTTTATTAAATTTTTTATTTTTTATTTTTACTTTTAGTATTTATACTCTAAACTAACTATAACTCAACAAAAATTTTCTCACCATAAACTTTCTAAAAATATGCTTGATTGGTTTTAAACATTCCCAATCAATTCAGAAGCTCAAAATTTAACACAATTTCCAACTCTTCTTGGAATTAATGTTTTAAATTTTTCTCCAAAACTTTTATCCTAGATATGCAACTCATACTTCTACTATTCCTCAACAACCTATTTGTAATAGCTTTAATAATTTATTACAAGATATGATTTTATAAAAACCACAATTTCTTTTTGATATTATTTATCAAAATACCTCCAATACACCCTCTTTAAATTCCAATATTTCACCTAAATTATTATATTTTACTTTCAAAAATATTCTTTCCAACTTTACTACTATTCTCTTTACAAGTCTAAACTACAAAAAAATTTTTCATTCACACTATTTCTTACTCCCACATTCTATTTTTCAATATACTCATATTGCAATTAATCTTGCTTGTTTACATCTCTTTCTTCATAATAAATATTAAACTATTAACTATACTTAATTTTATCTTGATCTTGATCTTAAACCTATTCAGCTTAGTTTACATTTTGATACTATCTACTATAATTCTAACTCTATATCACTAGAAATCAAACATGATTCTAAATATAATATTTATATTACCTTCAACATTGATCTACAATATTTTCTTCAAACATTTCGTATTCCTTTTTTTAAAACATATTATGCACCTCTTGATACCTGGTTTACTAAATTCTATAATATTTATAAAAAACAATTTTCACATATCAACCAGCAAAAAGTTTATAATCATATCAAATTTCAAACTATTACCTTTTTTTCTAATAATCTTAAACAACTACTCCCAGATTTTTACTAATCTACATCAATTAATTCTCTACAAAAATGTACTAATACATCAATTAAAGCTGCTTTATACCATTTACATACTTGCACAAATTCTACTTGCAATATTCTTTTTAACAATACAACACATACTTTTTATAATTTAACTTCTTTTTTCTTTAAACAATCCTTTATACAATTTCTAACTACTTTAAAATATACCAACCCTGATCTAGATTTTTCTAGCTTTGAACCAAATCTATTATTATCTGCTGCATTATTTAAACTATTTCCTTTCAAATCTCTTAAAGAACTAGTTTATCAAGCAGAACAAAAATTTATACAACTTAACAATACTTCAACCAATTTCAAATGTGAAACTTTTTTTCAACAATTTTTTAAGCAAGCTGTTAAAAATGATAATATAACCAATTTTAATCTCAAAAATGCATTGCAACATACTTTTTCAATTTCTACAAACCCTTATCATTTTGCTAACATTATAGCTTATTTTAATATTATACAATTTTCTTACAAGTCGAATAAAGGCAAATTAGGAACTGTACAACTAGTTAAAAACCGGAGACAAATTGGGTTTTGATATGTCTCTGGTTTTTTATTTTTAAATCAGTTACATATCGGACACCTAATATGACTATGAATGTTACAATAAATTATACTGACAAAGCTTAATTATATTGGGTTGTAATCATTAACTTTATAGATAATTCTATAGAGCTATTGGCACATCTATATGTTGCTGGAATTTTACTGATACTATAAGCACAAACTGGTAAAATTTATAACAGTTATCGGCAAGCCTATATGTCATAGTATTTTACTGATAAATAAATTGACTATAAGCACAAACCGGTAAAATTTATTATAGTTATCAGCAATTCTATATGTTACTAGAATTTTACTGAAATCTTACTGATTAATAATTTGAATATAAGCAAAATTTATATTAGTTATTGGCAAACCTATATGTCACTGGAATTTTACTGATAAATAAATTGACTATAAGTACAATCCGGTAAAATTTATTATAGTTATTGGCAATCCTATATATCTTTGAAATTTTACTAAAATCTTACTGATTAATAATTTGACTATAAGCAAAATCCGGTAAAATTTATATTAGTTATCGGCAAATCTATATGTCACCAGAATTTTACAAATAAATAATTTGACTTTTAGCACAATTCAGTAAAATTTATAATAGTTATCAGCAAACCTATATGTCACCAAAATTTTACTGATTAATAAATTGATTATAAGCAAAATCCAATAAAATTTATAATAGTTATTGGCAATCCTATATGTCACTGGAATATTATTGATTAATAAATTGACTATAAACAAAATCTAGTAAAATTTATATTAGTTATTGGCAAACCTATATATCACTGGAATTTTATTAATTAATAAATTAACTATTAGCACAATCTGGTAAAATTTATATTAGTTATCAGTAATCTTATATGTCTCTAAAATTTTACTAATAAATAAATTAACTATTTATATTAGTTATCAGCAGTCCAATATGTATTTCTAATTGTTCTAATAAATATATAGAATTAGTTTTTACAGAGCTTCATCATCTTTACTAATTGCTAAAAGTAGCAATAACACAATTGGTTTATATATTATATATTATAATATCTTCTATATTAATTATAAACTTTATAATACATACGTAAAATTATTCAGTTTATCAATATAATTATATATATTAAATATGAAATTTCCTATATACAGGAATAACCAATATATATTCTTTTAGGTTTCTTTTTTCAACTATAACAGTGCCAGAAATAAATCTAACTAACACAGGTCGAAAGATAAAAAATCAGACACAAATCAGGTACCTGATTTTAACTAATTACTATCTGATTACCACCTGATTTATGCATATTTTTGTACCAAAAATTTGGTACAAAAATATGCATAAATCAGGT